GACAGCCAACATCATAGCTCATCTGCAATATGTTTTGTGCAAATGTCTTCATATAAAATACGTTTTTTAGTAAAGGGGAGATTTTAAAATATCTACTGTATGTAATTGTGATAGATACATGGAGGGGAAGATTCATTTATGCTTTTAAGAATCAGATCAATTTTATATAAGAAGTACAGTACATTAGATTAATATATATTTATGTTTTTTCGTTAGGGCTCTTGTTTTAAAATGTATGTCTTCATAAATGGTGTTCTGTAAAATGATACTTTTTAGATAAAATCTTAATTGCTATGGATACCTTTGTGCAGTTCTTCTGATATTGGTTGTCTAGGTTTTTCCTAACAAGGAAAAATTATCCACTACAAGTTGCACAGAATTTATTATGTTACATTCAGGACAGATTAATGTTAGTCTGATAAAAGTGACATTAAAAGATACTTAAAAATGAAATACTTGGCTTTTTGACATTAGTGAAGATATATTAACTATAATCAAGTCATCAGTTTTGAAGTTTGATTTCTAAATTATGAGACAAGAAAATACTGTTCAAAATACAGACACTGTATTTATGATTTCTACAGTTATTTTAATACCAACTGTAGAAATGCATATCAGCGCTTCAGTACTTCTTAGTCTGTATACATTCATTTTATGTAATTTGATTTTTGTATTTAATTTCCCAAGTTTAATTTCCCATTGTAGAACTTTTGCTGTCACTTCAATCTTTATGGTATTAAATGTTTATTAATCCATTAGTGCTTCCCTGCACTAATCAGAACCTGTGCCGCTCATTAAATTTTTTGGGACTGGCAAAAACCTAGAAAGGCAGAGCACAGACATTAACTAACCAGCCTTCAGTATTTTCTTAACTGGTCTATTATTGGTCATTTCTGTTCTGCATACCTGTACTGTTTACTTAAAAAACAATAACATCAGGGAGCAATATGTACAGTACAGTATCAAGACACTCGGCACAATGATGTGAAATGCACAGAAGCAATGTCTAGTATTCGTATTGAGTATCCCCAGATTTAAATCCAATAAAGATGGTTTGGCACTCCCTCAAAGACAGCATTCAAGAGACAGCAAAACCAACCACAAAGCAAAAACTTTTATTTTAAAAGCATTTATTATCAGCTACTACTACCAACAAAAGTATGCTGTGTAAATATATTTATGTTTATAAATTAGTATGGACATTTTATAAAATAACATATGGAAACTTTGATTATTTTTATTTTCCGATGCCAACATGTCCTTTTGTTACCCGGGTCCTTATTAATATTCCATCTTAGGTGGATTTAAAGAAGTATTAAAATACATTTAATGAAGCTACTGTTTTACTTGCATCTTAATCATCTATTGACCATCTATTGATCTATTGACTAAAGTCAACATGCTAAAGCACACCATGGTATACCACAGTGTGCTTACCAGTGAAACATGATTTGATGTGCATTCTGATCAGCACCTGTACTTTGTGAATGGATGTTAGAATTGAATCAAGAAAGCATGAACAGAATGAAGACTATCCAGTCATCCATTTCCTAACCACTTCATTCAATTTAGGGTGGAGGAGAAACTGGAGCATATCCCGGCAATGGGCACAAGGTGGGATACACTTTGGATGGGTCAACAATCCATCACAAGGCACACACAGACACAAGCACACACATTCACACACCCATTGAGGGCCAATTTTCCCAGAAGCTAATTGACTTAACAGTATGACTTTGGACTGTGGAAGGAAACTGGATCACCTGGCAAAAACCCACCGTGAACACAGAGAGAACGTACAGTACACGCTCCGCAAAGATAACATCCCAGGTCCAGAATTGAACCCAGGACCCCAGTGCTAAAAGGCAACAATACTAAACACTGTGCTACTCGGAATGAAGACTATTGAAGACATAAACTAATGAACTACTATTAAACAATACTATACGATTAAACAAACAAAATCTAGATAACAGTTCAAAAATGATTTTAAGGGATTTACATGGGCATGATCTTGGCTCAAAACATACATGAAAAAAACATAAAATAAAAATGAATTTCATGTACGTCTTATGTAAAATTGTTCTGATTCTTAAAAGCATAAATGTATCTCTACACAATCAAGAATTGTTTTTTCAAGCAAGTTCATTTTCTGAGGAAGATCAAGCCTCTGACACACAGGTGTTTAGTGCTGTTTCACTGCATGTTTGAGACATGGAAAGTTTTTGAGAGATGGAGTTGGAATTCTGGCAGATTGAAAACTTGTTTCCAGGGCTGGCAATAACATATACAGTATACACATACTGTACATGTAGTGCATTCTTAAGGTAATCACTGATTATTTCTAATTAGAATAAGAATCAAAACACTTATAATTAAAACACTTCACACAGAATTAAAACAGAATATATCATATTCTGAGATAAAATGACATTTTATTTTCTTATTGTACCATACTTGTACTTTGGAACCATTGACAAAGTGCCAAGCCTTGAAGTTGAGCAAAAAGTCTTTTTTTATTCTTACAAAGAAAGCTTATAAGAAGGCTTATTAAAACTTTACTTTTGCCTTTGAAATACTGTGGTTGGGTGAGTTCCTATAATTGGCTTTTATTGTTTCTGGAATGTTCACTTAAACTGTACTTAATATTTGGTTTCTTTCTCTTCAGCCCTAGTACTCTTGTAATCTTTTCTGAGATTTTACACCTTTTTTTCTTATTTTCATCAGAGGCTTTTGGGTCATTTAAAACAATTCAATCTCTCCCATAGAATAAAATACATCAATACAGATTTCAAATTTCCTTAAAAGACAGGATTGTCTGCACTAAGATAACAAAACTGATTTTTTTGTCACACACTGTAAGTCTAAAACCTTAGTTACATTCAAAGCACATCGTGTAAGTCTTAGGTGCTCAGTTTTAATTTTTACATAAGATAATGGGCTTACCCAAGAAATGTGAATTGTTTTTCACATTTAAAAAGACATTAATGTTTTGTGGTTGAATCACATAGCTTATTCAACAAATTCCATTTGTCTTGATCCAAATGAGATAGAGGATTTATCAATCTAATTAAATGGATAAACCACATGTTGTGATATAAATTCATACTATATATTTTAGTTACTGATGTGATGTTATATGGAGGAAAATTTGTCACAGTCCTTCTACAAACATTAGTTTCTTGTTTTATTCAAAAGCCCATACGAATTTCTAAATATCCCGTTCATAAAATGTATTTTGATTAAGTTGCTGATTACACAGCATGCTGTTTTAAATGAGAAGTTTCATTTTAAGCTCTTATATTATCCTTTTGGTTATAAGTTTTTGTCTTTAATTAGAGGACACAAAAATAGAACATTTCTTTTGACTTTGCATAGCTATAAGAATTGTTGCAATAATATATTTTCATCCTTTATATTACTGAAACTCCATGGAATTTGTTGGATTCTATGGATTGATAATAATTCTAAATTTGGTTTTAGACTGAGTTTTAATTGCAGGGTTTTTCTTTAGATTCATTTTTTTATCTCTCTACAAAAGTATTCTCCTGAAATCAATCGAAAAACCAGAACTATTATTTTCCCTTGAAGTAATCCATGAACTCATGGATAACTTCCTATCTGGCTTTTACTTTTTGTAGACATGGAGAAATGTGAATGGAATTTGTAACTGTTACTTTAATGAGTACTGTGCATTTCACTAATGAAGTTTCATTAACTTTCAAAGCATTATCAGTTAAACCCATAAATATCTCTGCTTATACATTTGGAGAAAATAGAGGTTAATTTCACACTGAAATGTAGATAGAAATACAAAACATAATTATTTGGCAATGGATCCTGCTTCAATGTGTGAAATAAGTAATTGGTTTAAATGTTTTGAAAAAAGCTTCTGTTTATTCAGGAAACTTACAGTGCACTGGTCAAATATTAGAGAGGATAACACTCTGGAATGCTCCTTGAGATTGCACCTTGTTGCTGGCACATTTAATATTAAGCAGCTTTGTGAAGTTGGTTTATTGGCATGCTTTGTGAGCATAGATCATACGTATGTAATCACTGAGGACACTGTGGTTATTCACAGCAGGTTTGCAATGCCCCTGGCTCAGTTTTAATTTCCATGGTGCACATTGTTTACCTCCAATATTCCATACAAATATGGCCTTTTCTGGTAGATGATCTCTACAAGGAGATGAAAGACAACTCCGGGAGAACTGTGAAATACGTATAGGCAGAAGTTACAGTTTCTTTCCAGACCACAAGTTCTGACTAAATAGTGGCCTAATCTGTGCCACCCAAAAAAGAGATCGTTATATTATGTCTATGCTATAAAATGATCTCAGAATATGTACTTATTTAAGCGTCTTTGAGCTCTGTAGTCATATATCTTGATACACAGCAAGTTAATTTCCGTTGCACTTGTACTACTGTTGTCTTTAACTTCTAAAACTGTTGTATTGACTTTTCACTGAATCAAAAATCTAAATATTTTGAAGATAGATGCATTGTTCAGCTTCTTCCATTTTTCCTAGGTAGCAGGGATAAAAGGAATGTTCTTGGCAAACAAGAAGCTTGAGAACCAAGTGAAGACCTACATCACGTACAACAAAGGCAGAGACTGGCGTTTACTGCAGGCACCTGCCACAGACCTGAGGGGTAACGACATCCAATGTGTTCTGGTGAGTTGTCTCTGTCAGGCTTCTCAATTAAGCCTTGTCAAATGTTGAGTGATGTGGATGCAGGTGCCGTTTACTGTAAGTATCCTTTTGACTGAAATTTCAGAGCTAAAGGTCATGAATTTGATTTAGTCCACCTGTCTATCTGTACATATACTGTAGATGGCAATGCCAATTATAATGATGTGTTATCTTCTATATTTCTAGTGTTTCAAAACATGACATTACTATGATTGGCAGAAATATAATAGACGAATCTCTCTGTCTAAAAAGGAGGCACTTGTTTTCCACATGGGTATGGATACACCCATTCTTGGATGTAATAGTGTCCATTCTACCTCTATTTCACTGAACAATGGTTTGTGTAAAAAACAGGAATCAAAACTAAGCTCCCTTTAAGTCGTTATTTTACACTAGTTATTCCCAGATGTTACTTTCAACTTCCAAACATAGTAATGCAGGAATTAATTGTTGTCTCTCAGTGAATCAGAATCTCATATGTGCCTATTAAAAGCAATGTTACTAATCCAATTTATTTTTCTTTTTCTTATTCTTATTCTATTGGAGTGCAAACAAATACATTTATTACTTTAATTTTACTATTCTAATATCTACAGAACTATGTTTTAGATCCAAATCCAAACACCACTGTCAAAAGCTGCTAATTTGGCAGCTGTTCTTGCGTTTCTTTTGTTATTTCTGGTTTCTATTTTAATGGAGATTTGCCAGACTGTGTTTCCAAAATGCCCCATCTTGTCCAAGAGGCAGCTTCAGGCTGTCCAACATCTGCACATTTCAGAATTCAAATGTTTCAGGGAAGGAATACTGACAGGTTGGTGGGAGCTGGAGATGTTAACTTTTTCTGGGTTAGCTGCTAATTAGTTATCTTCAATTTTGGAGGTGGTTGATTGATTGACCATGAACACTATTGGCAGCCAAACAGCACAGTAATAAAGCAGGACTAACAGGATGGATCAATACAGCCAGGAATCCAATACGTGAAGGAGAAAAAAGCAAAAGAAACATAGAGTGAAAGGTTAAATTTAATTACTGGGGTATTGACTGCTTCATTTTAAAGGGATGCCTGTTTAAAAGAAGAAAATACAGTTCTGAGCATCATCAGCATTAATGTTTTAATGAGCTAGAACACATTGAGGCTTCTGAAGGAAATACTAGCTGTCCCTACATTCTTTCAGTTGTATTAGATTGCTTTCACTCCTGAAGCATCTGGATTGCTAATGCAGCTGTTAGCAGAATTCATCTGAAACATTGTGTGATGGTGAGCTGCCGTATATCAGGACCCTATGCAGTGATCTCGGAGTGTTAGGTGAGCAATCCAAATTGCTAGGCAAAGACATAGTCGGTAAACAGGCAAACATCCAAAAGACCAAGGTTTAAGAATAGGTAGTCAGAGAGAACAACAGGTGAGGTAGGAGCTCCAGGGGAGAAACCAATACCTAGCACTGACAGATACTGAATGAGGGCTTATAAGGAGTGGAGACTGGGGTGAGTTTAGTGAAGAACAGCTGAGAATGATTGATTATCATGTGCAGTAGTGCTTTGTGGAATTAGCCTGCACTGGGGACTGGTTAGAGCGTTTTCCAGTAACAGGTTTTTGATTGCTGGTCGTAACACTTTGTTGTTGTTTGAGATAAAGGTGGTCTTTAAAGTATCTTATTTTAGTTGCTTGGCAGATTGGGAAAGACATCAAATTCTAATTTTAAATAATTAAACAAACTGCATTTTAAACTGACATGAAGCCATGTAGTTATTAACTTACAAAGACAAGCCCTAGCCACTTGGTTGTTGACATGATTGAGACATTTTCTAATAAGAGCTTCTGTCACGATGAAGGACAAATTCCATGTAGAAAATACTGTACTTTGACCACAGGGTGTACCAGATGTTTACAAATTCTCAATTCACTCCCTGGGCAATGCAGTGAATGCAGTACAATTATATAAGGGGTAGCTAAACATTCCAATGCACTGTTTTCTAATCCTGAATTCAACTGCAACCATTTAGTTTTTTAAATGCAAAATGTTTGCTGTTTGATGAAAGACATGGATCAAGCTAAGGAGCATTCTGTATGAAAATCCTTGAATAAATTATCGTATAATTATATTATCAATACCTAATGAAGTCTTCATGATCTATAAAAGGTAAACGGGTCCATGATTTAACCAATCTGAATTTCAGCTATTACATTTGTCCTGAACACTGGCACATTCATTAAGCTACTTCATCCCAATTGCCGTTAACATTGATTTTTTCTTTCTTGTTATTGTTTTGGATGCTAATATCTACTTTTGTTTTAGAAATGACAGTTATTTGTTTTGCAGTGTTTTTCAATATTCAGTCTACCAGATACCACAGTAGAAAATGACCTAAAATGGCCATATGTTTCAATTTTATAATATATTATTTTTCTTGAATATTTATGTTCATAACATATCCAAATAAAATGCTCCAGAGATAGCGTGCAGTCAGAAAATGCAACATAGTGATGAATAACAAATACTGTATATGTTTTTTTTCAAATATTTTTGTTATCTTCAGGTCTTTTTTATGTCTTCTTTTTTTCTGTTTTTGTTTTGTTCTGTTTTTTTAAGTTTTTTTAAAGAGATTCTGTTCTTTGATTTTTTTGCTGTATTTTTATTTTATTTATTTTTATCTTAAATAATTCTTCTTTCCTATGATTCCTACTTAATGAATTTTATGCAATGGAGCAACTGTATCATGGTGAAATAAGGGGTTGCAACACAATGTAGGCAAATTATTCTCAACAACAGCTAGTTGTGTGATTTTCTTTATGTTGCATGTTACTCTCCACGTGAAGCATTGTAGCATGAAAATCTGTACTCGTAGTGGTTTTCTAGTTCATGTGCAGTTATGCGTGCCTTCTTTCTGGCCCTGTTTGACATTACAGCACAATTCCTTTCTCCTTCATCAGTTTCTGATATTGAATTCAAACAATTTTCTTAGACCAGAGCGGGAACGTTAAAATAATGTGGTCTATTTATGTGAAGCAGAAAAGGGTTTTATTCACTTGAATGGTGAAAATATGTTTTTATATTTGAAAATTGAAGTACAATATTTTGTTTTACTGTTTCAAAAAACCTTTTCGCCATTAAGAACAAGGAGGTATGAAAGTCTTAAGAGCAATACATTTGGTAGAAGCAGAAATATTTTATGGGGTGATCTAATTAGTGTAGTGCTTTACAATGAAGTACTGTATTTATGCACATAGAACAATCAGTCACAAATGTTAACTACTAGAAATCTGCATCAGCCTTAAACAAAATTATTTGGATGAACTCCCGCAATTGTCTCAGAGCTTACTGTAAATCCTGGTTTATACAAACTGCATTATTACAGTTTTTAATAGGTACTTATCCTATACGTAATCCATTCTCAAATGCCTCTAAAACCTTAACAGCTTTCATTTACAAGGTAGCTGTTAAAGTATATGTTGGATGAGATTTTAGATATATTTAAATGCAATTTATGGAGGGAAAATGACTTAATACCTGTAATAATAAGAGGATGATGAAGAAGAGAATGAAGAAAACCATCTTGATACTTTTGATGCAGAAGGTACTATAAGATTTTCTTTAAAAATTTAATATGTGAATATTAGATATTTTTTAGGTAAGGTAAACTACATGTATATTCATTTTATGCTGCGTGGAACAAGGAGCTATTGTTTAAAAATTCATTACTTTCAATGTTATGCCCCAAAATAAACATTAAAATAGAATTTAAAAATAAATAAATACAAATTAGAGCCCGTTTGAAAATACATTTCATCTGCATCCTATCATGTCCTTAATGCAAATATAAAGTTAATTTCACTAGCCCTTTGTTTTATTAAATGCTTCTGTTGCTTACATGCTTGTGTTCGGTGCCCCCTAGCAACTGTAACACACAATTACAATTGATATGAGATTGAAGGATCTGGTCTTCATTTCTTTATTTTTTTCTGTGTGACTCTGAAGTATAGTTCAGTCAGATGCCTTTTCTTACCTTAAACAGTTATTGAGCTAACCCTGTTTTCTCCTTTTTAGTGTCTGAGCTCCCATTCTTTGTATGTTTTTGCTGTTGTTTTATTCAGCTTTGAAAAAGCATTTGCTTCTGTGGCAAAACAAGCCATTTAAATTAAAATGTTCATTTTATAAAATGAACATATTAGACAAAGAAAGTTTAGTAATTTCAAGCAGAAAACCAAGAGGGGCAATAAGGCAGAGAAATAAAAAATGACTTGTCATGTTTAATCACTTCCCTTGCTTTAACTTCAATTCCTACTGAAACTCTTATACCACAGAGTATCCTTCACTATCCTGTTATGATATAGTTTAATGCTTTAATGAGGTGGAACAGATCACAGCTCTGAGGAATGATGCAAAGCCTTAGGCACTAATGGTTTAATGGGCTTCATTTGGCTCAATGCTTGCATTGTTTGGGCTATTATTACACAACAGCAGTAGGGTATTTGCTTTATTGTGTTTATGTTTTTGTCTCAGAGTGACCCTTAAAGAGTTTTCATTATAAATGTGTTCTTTAGTGGTGGTGTTGAAAAGATGGCTAAAAGCAAATCAAATTTGCAAGTGTAGTATGTCTGCACTGTAAAAAAATCCGTTCTTTCATGGAAGTGATTTAATGCACATTATAAATAAATCATACAGTACCTATCGTATGTTTAAAATGAGTCAAATACGTTTTTCATCATTCCCTTATTATTACTGGTATTACA